TTTACACATTCCAGAAGGTGTTGTAGTGTAGGTTGTGAAAATTGGGTTTTTTTAAAAAAGGTGATTCGTAGTTGGATGGAAATGATGCATTCTCACTGCACTGGATAAAATAATGTCTAGCTATAAAAACACTGCAGCTACTACTCTGTGCCTAATATGGAGAAAGGGATAAGAATGCTGAGCTACTGAGTTAATTTGAGATGTTAATATTCTGTCATTTGCTCTTATTTGAAGGTCAGGTTTAGTCATTAGATGTCTTTCTTTCAGAGGTAGAAGTAGTTGGTGCATCTGAGTAATCCTCTGGTAAAATCCTACTACTTGGTTTACTCAGGGCACATCTCCAGCTTTAAATATATCCCTTTTTCAAATATAGGCACACATCCCCTATGGAAATAAAGCAGGAATTCAAGACTTGTCTAAACTTGTCAGTTCAGTTTAGCAAGGTGACTCCATGAGACTATAGATGATTTCAAAGTTAAAAATCTTTGATAAATCACGTAGTTTAGAAATTTACTGTCCTGTAAGTGTTGGTTTTACTCACTAGTTAATGGTTACTTTATAACTCCTGATAGTAAGTCCAGAATAATCTAACTTGAATTTTTTAGCTCTGGTGGTTTCATCATTGTTCTATGCCTGTCATTACTTTTGAATATTAGAACCTTAAAAATGGTTCCCTCTATGTGGAAAAAAAAATTAAAATGGTGTATAATAAAATTTTAAAAATCTGAAAATATTTCTCCAGTATAATTGTCTCAGAAGAGAAGGTCAAGAATTTAATGCAGCTGCCTTTGATTTGTCCTTTTTATTTTACTTTTTATTTCCTGCTGAAGATTTCTGCAAAAGCTTGACAACTTTGCAGAAAATATTGGAAAATAGGAAAGACAAAGCTGTAGAAGGTAGAAAGTACTCCTTAGTTTGATCCTGGGAAAAAAAATAGAACTGATTTCTCTTCAGTTTCCTCTGTCAGAAAAAAAAACAAATTTACATTTTAAGTGGCTTACTTAAAAGTTTTGTAATTTCAGTAGGGGGGAGTCTTTTACAGATATCTGTGAAAATACACTGTAGTAGATTTATTTCATTTTTTAAAAAAAAAGATATTTAAAATTTGGAAGCAGTAGTAGCTTTCGTAGAAAATGAAGCCTTCTGGTTTGATGTAGGGAATTAGGGATGTGGTGCATCTTTTGGTTTTGGGAGTGAATACCCTTTACACACAAGGCAAAATAGCCATAGTAATGCATTAATTACTAAATAAGAAGTGAGAAATCACTTTTTAACCCTTTTCTAAATAACCAGCCTTTTCAATCTGGCATGTGGAAAAGCATCTGTGACTAAAAGTTTGTCCACATTAAGTGGTCACATTAAGTTGTGTGTTCCACAGTTTAGGAGGAGATTACAAATCCAGTGTAAAACTCAGGCCTGTAAAGCTCCCACTGAGCTGGATGCAGCTGGTCCTCACTGTAAATAAGTGGTTTTCATCAGTGCTTATTATTTAATATAAATATGCATCTTTTCACACCTTCCAGAAGGTTTTGTAGTGTAGGTTGTGAAAATTGTTTTGGTAATTAATAGTTGGATGAAAATCATACTTCTCACTGCATCCCACGGATAAAAATATCTCCCATGCAAAACCATGACAATGAATGGGGAGGAGGAGATCACCAAAATCTGTCGTATTTCACCTCCTGCAATACAAAACCAAACCCCCAGCTCTGCTTCTGCAGGCAGCTCCTCTGGAGAGGGAGCAGGATCAGACAAGGATCTGGTCACTAGGAGTGAGGGGAGGTCCCGGAAAAGTGTATGATTTATGTCTGAAGGGAAAAGTGTTTTCCAGAAAGGGTGATGAATTCTGGAATGTTCTGCCCGGGAAGGTGGTGCAGTCCCCATCCCTGGGTGTGTTTAACAAAGCCTGGATGTGGCACTGGGTGCCAGGGTTCAGCTGAGATGCTGGGGCTGGGTTGGACTCAGTGGTCTTGTAGGTCTCTTCCATCCCAGTGATTCTGTGAATTCTGTGAAGTATTGACATGAGAGTGCTCCCTCTGAACTTCCAGGACTTTTCTCAAGTGTCCTCTGTGTCTGAGTGGCTGAACAGAGTCTAAAACAACTGGAGACAGGACACCTTGTTTGCTCTCTGGGAGAGGGAAGAGCAGGGCATTGAATCAAGAGTGGAATTTTGCTACAGACCAATTCCTGGATTTGGATTAGCAAGCTAGAGGGTGGGAAAATAAGTCAGTAAGAGCATAACAATAAGTACATAAATCCAGCTGAAGTGGGGTCACTGGAATAAAAAAAAAGAATAAGAAGAATAAGAGGAGTATTAGAATAAAAGAGCTGATGTTTGAGGATTTTCCTTAGTGTAGATGTAGTTTGCTAAAGGCATTAGGTGATAATAGAGGAGAAAGGCCAAGAGAGGAAGGAGGAAATAGGTTCAGAAGGCATGGAGACCCAAATAGAGAGAAAAAGATAGATATAGATACAGATAGATGTAGATATAGATACAGATGGAGATATAGATAGATAATATAGATATAGATGCCTATTTTAATGAGTAGGTCCCCTACAATGGAGTTGATGAAATTGTAGTCTTCCTAACATAAAATTGCATATGCTGCAGAAACTAAATTTTCCAAATCTGTAGGAAAGGAGTTAAGGGCTATGTGATTAACCTGAAGAATAATTAATTTTCTGCATTATTCAAGAAATTAACAGAGTGGTGTTTTCTGCATAGATTATTATTTTTCCACAGTACTTTTGTGGTGTACGCCTTGCTGTATTTGGCTGTCTCCTTCCAGTATAGTTCAGAATCATTTCTCAGTCAGACAAGGTTTTGGTGCAGCAAAGGGAAAGTGTCACCAGTTTTGTGGGAGTGTTTCCTCAACATTGTTGGCAGGAGAGAAGCCAGTATTTAGCTCTGCTTTGGGCAGTCAGTCAGTAATATTTCTGTGTATTTCTAAGAAACTGATCTGAGAAGGTGTGGACTTTGTGGCCTGTCCAAATATCTAGCAGTTATTTATATACAATACAATGACTTCATGCAATGACCAAATTTTTTTTTTTGTTTGTTTGCACCTTAGAATTTTGTCATCTTCAGTTGAGGAGATAGAAAAGGGTTGAATCTTTATGGATCACAACTGTTCTTCAGCTGTATTTTCAGCAAGTTGTAAGATTGTCTTCAGTCTTGAATGCAGAGGAGATTTCAAGTGGAACAAAACCAGGATTTTGTACATATGTGAGGTTGGAGGTACATCCACCTGTGTGTGGAAAAGCACCAGTGAAAAAACCTGAGGTGGAAACATTTTGCACAGGGGATTTGTGTGGGTAACATCCATCAGTGTCAGTGACAGATCCACCAGTGAGCAAACTGACTGCAGGAGAAGTGCTCCTTTACATTTGGGATTTTGTCAACTACACACCTTCCTAGTATTCTTTTCTTTCCAAAATGAATTATAAACTCAGAGAGAAATCTGCTTAATCACTTACAGAAAAGCTGTTGTGCATCTTAAAATCCACTTCACATTTCAGTGTCCCAGCTGATGTTGGTATAAAGGGCACTTAAAGCTCCAGAATAAGGGAAAACTTGGTCTGTGACACTGTTAGCAGCTGAAAGGCCTGATTATATTGGAACTTTCTCAAGTTAAATGCTGTTTCCTATTGCTCCATCACATCTACTGAGCAATTTAAAATAGCAGGAAAAGAGATTACTGGAGATGAATTAAAGCTGCACGAAGATGGAGCTTTGAGGGTTCCTTTTCAGTAGACATTGGAACCACTCAAGTCAGAATGCTCTCCTCTGCACAAATGAGAAAGAAAATGTGTTACCATTTTAATTATTATTGCCTGTTTAACGTGGGATTTCTTGAATAACCATGTCCTTGAATAATCATTTCTTAACTAAAATGACACAATTTTGTAGCCAGTGATCCATGATTTTAAGTATTTGGAAGGGCTATTGATTCACTGAACTGGAAGAAATTAAAGATGTTCAGGCATATTTTCAAAAGTAGAATTACATGTAGTATAAATTATATTTGATCATGTATATTTTATTTACCATTTAAATCATAAAAAAGCTAGGCACATGTAATGCAGCATTCAATTTATCTGTAATAGCTTTAACTGAACATTGATGCTTATGTTTAAATCTGTGTTTATGTTTAAATATTTTTAATTGTTTTTTAAATTTTAAATCTGTGCCTAAGTTTGTATTTAAATATGTTTAGCTCTGTGGAGTGTCATGAGAGCTGCCAGCACCTCCTTTTGTCCCTGTGTTATGGTCCCCTCTACCTATTTGTGTTTGTGCTAGTCACTCTCTAGGTAAATTGTCCATAAGGCCAGTGATTGGTGCTTATGTTTAAAGCTGTGTTTATCTTCAAATATTTTTTTTTTTTAATTTTAAACCTGTGTTTGTGTTTAAATATGTTTGGCTCTGTGGAGTGTCACAAGAGCTGCCAGCAACTCCTCTTGTCCTTGTGTCATGGTTCCCTGTGTGTACCTATTTCTGTTTGTGCTAGTCACTCTCTAGGTAAATTGTCCATAAGGCCAGTGATTGGTGCTTATATGTAAATCTGTGTTTATGTTCAAATATTTTGTAATTTTTATTTTTTAATTTTAAATCTATGTTTATGTTTGTGTTTAAATACGTTTAGCTCTGTGGAGTGTCATTAGAGCCCCCAGCACCTCCTCTTGTCCCTGCGTGTACCTATTTCTGTTTGTGCTAGTCACTCTCTAGGTAAATTGCCCATAAGGCCAGTGATTCCATCAGCAAATTATCCAGAAAATGCCATCAGTGCACATGGTGACACTCGTGCCACTGGTGGCTCTGCTGCCATTCCAGTGGGATAATTAAATTGGCAGGTTCCTCTTGTGCCCAGCACCGTCACCTCCCTTCCTCCGGCTCCTCAGCTCAGACCTTCTCCTTTCCTCTGTCCTCCTAGCTGAGCATCAGCTGCAGTACTGATGGCTCCTCTCCCACCCGACCCTTTTGTGTTGTTTTTGGTTGGCAGTATCACCCTGACAAACAGGAGGCAGACGTGGCGGCGGCCGAGGCGGAGGAGCGCGTGCAGCGGTTCATGGAGATCCATCAGGCGTGGAAAATTCTGGGCAACGAGGAGACAAAAAAAGAGTATGACCTGCAGCAGCGTGGTAGGTTCCTGCCAAGGAGTGCTGGAGTGGCAGCAGCTCTTCAGATAAGCAGGGGCTGGGAGTGGTAGTGAGATGGTATTTTAAAATGCCGAGTGGAATGTTTCTTTCACTCTTGTCCTACTTTCAGACGTGGATCCATTATTTATAGCTTGAGCTACACATACATCAGCTGCTGAAAACACAGAATGACTTCCAACAAAACGTTAGGGGGCATTCTTCCTGATAGTTTGAATTATTGTGGAATTTATACTGATTGCAGACCTTAGCCCTTTTTATTTTATGAAGGTAGCTTCATTAATTGTTCTTAATTTTAAGTTTTATGCTCCATTTTGTTGCAGTTGTTTAGATGTAGGCATTAAACCATCTACACCTAGTGTTCTTTGTGTATGGATTTATAACCAGAACCATTAGGACACATTCTTTTCCGTTGCGGGTGTTAGGTAGCGTTCATAATTCATCCACAGTCTAAAGCAGCCTTTCCAAAGCAGGTTTGTAAATAATATTTCAATATAACATATTAACTAGGCTGCTCTAGCACGCATTCCTTTTTATAGCTCTCAGAAAATAGCTTCTTAAAACAGTGACAGGCTGTTGTGAGAAAGAAAGGGGGGAAATGTAGGTCAGGTCTGTCACACATGGGCTACCATTACATGAAGTGATAGGCTGTCTTTCTGCTCTGGCCTCGGGATAGGAGTCCCTCAGCCTTCCATTAGAACCTTCAATAAATGTATATCCACCCTCCATGTTAATGGGGGGAGTCAATAATAGTGGCTTGCCCCTGGGGAAAACACTCGGTGGCACTCTGCAGTGACACACTGGGGCCAGCATTGACGTGGAGCCACCACCACTGCGGAATGTGCTGATAAAAGGCCACTGTCTGTGCAGCTTGTTATTGAATTCCGGCTTTGTGCACTGGCACACCATCAGCCCCTGTCCCTCGTGCTGATTTTTAACTCCCCACAGCTCCGAGACACAAAGGCACCGTGGCATCTCTGCAGGGTAAAGAGGGTGCTGCAGATTCACAGGGTGAATTCTCCACTTAAACAACTGCAGTGGGTTTGCTTTGTTAATTTGAGATTGCTCTGTTAATGTACTAATGAGTGTGGTGGGTTTGGTGTTGGTTAATCACTAGTGTATTTACTAACTCATTTCCTTGATACAGGATTAGGAGAAAACTAAAACTTTACAAAGGTATAAAGAAAAATTTGTAACAGTAACCAAAAGAAAGAGTAATAAGAATCAGAACAAAACTTTTAGGACACTTCTCGTGGCTCACCACTTCTGTGAGTGCCTCCCATACAAAACCACCACAATAGCCTTGTATTTCAGACTTCATGTGGCTTTGGGAACAGAGGGGAGGGCTGAAAACAGTCATTGAATAAGTGTTTTATGGAAAAAATTGGATCTTGTTCTGTTTGTAATGTAAGCAGTATTAAGATCAGACTTAAATATTTTTTTCATCTCAAAGTTATTTTTTAAATGCCTGAAGGTGATGTCAGAACCTCATGCTATTGTACTCTTACCATTGTAACATTGGTTGTGCCTTCTTTTTTCACAAACTGTATGTGTAGAGGAAAAAGGAAATACTAGAGATTAAGATGGGAATCTTTTCAGTATTTGGTGAGTTTTACCTAAAGCTTAAATCAGACTATGAAGTTCCATTTTGCCTGGGTCAGGTTCATCCACTGGAGTAGAGAGCTACAACAGGATTTTGTTTTCCTTTGGGATTTAAGGACATACAAATATGTCCTTAATCTATAAATCAGTTTTGACTGTAATTTGAAGATTATCTGTATTTTCTGAGATTCTTTTGCATCCAGATGAGCTCTTTGAAAAGCCATCTCAAGATTGACAAATAAAGGAATCAGACTGTACCTCTGTTGAGGCAGGTGTTTGGTGATGGGATGGGGATGGGACATTCTGTTTTAGCACAGAGGGTGCCACTCCCAGGGCCCCTGTGTTTCAGACTCAGCCACACCTGGCACACATGTGCAGTGCTGCTGCATTCCTTCCAGCATGTTCCCTGGCAGCAAAATGATGGGGAAATAAATCCTACTTCTTTGAATGCCTGTCAAGCTGCTTCTGAAGCCATGATTCTAGACAAATTCATAGACGCTGCCATAAAGGCTCACAGAAACAAAGGAGTGGAGGCAGCAGCTAAGGGGAATAGTTATGAGAGAGATAACACAGCCAGTTGGTAAGGTGCAGAGGAAGGCCAGGAAGCGGGATCTGAAGGATGCCAGTGTGTGCGTGAGTGCGGCTGCCCACCAGCAGGAAGCCCTTTGCACTGCAGTCTTTTCCCCATTTCACAGATTGTTTGTATGTACCTTCTTGTGTTACACTTACTAAAGCTTAATTACTGGGCTCAGAAAGTAGCCAGAGAAGTTACAAGGATGTGAAATTCTGTGAGGCTCTATGGTTTTAATTTTCTTTTTGTTTGGATTCTTGAGACCAACAAGTGAATGTGCTTTTATATCTTAATACTGCTTTTCTCTGAAGGTTTCTTAATAATCTCCTATTTTTTTTTCTGCCTTCAGGCCGTAGCATTAAAGGGAAGGGACAAACCACAAACTGTTCAGAGGTTAGACTCAAATACTTATCCAACTTTTTCTGATCTGGAAATCTTATAAGAAATGCCTTTTTGTATGTTTCTTGAATTTTTTCCAATTCATTGTTTGGTCATATAAGAATACCTTTTTATGATGATGAATCTTTTGCTTTCAGTATGAAAGTTTGGGGATGGAAAAAAAATCTGCATAACAATTTACATATGAAGAATGGACTTGGGGTTTTTTTGTCACTAGATTTTCTTCTTTGATTTTTCCATTCTTTGTTTGATATCCCACTTTAAAAAGATGAATATGCAGTTAAAATCAAGCTTGACTCTGATAATTACCGAAATTTTAATGTGGATAAAACCTGTTTCACATTTTTCACATTAGCAATCACCTGAACCCCGAAAGTTCATGCTTTTGTGACACAGCTGGGAAGAAGAAAAACTTCTCACAGAATCAGAGAATCACAGAGGCTGGAAGAGACCTTCCCAGGCCATCCTGTGAAGATCAGTCTCCCCCCTGAAGCCAGTCCTCACAGCCAGTTGCTCAGCTTGGCTTTAGTGCCTCCAAGGCTGGAGATTCTCAAGCTGCTCTGGGCAGCTCAAGAAGTTGTGCTTAGCCTAAAGCAGCTCTTTTTGTAATACCTGGTCTTTAACACAGGCTTTGCTGACAGTAGCAGTGGTTTGCAGTGTGCCAGGTTATGCTGTGTGTGTGACAGAAGTGGATGTTGCTTCTCCAGCCGTGGATTTGTGGCTGCAGCCCCTCAGCTGGAGCACAAGCCTTTGAACTCTCTGGAGTTAAATCTCATCTGCAACAAGTGCAGGATTGTTTTGGTATTTCTGTATCTCTTTGTTATGAAAATTCTTAACATGACTTCGTTAAAATTTCAAATTAAAGTAAGTGTGATTGCTTTAAATTGAGACAGCAATTAAGAAAAGACTCAGAAAACTCTGAAAAGACTCAAATTTAAGTAATTGTTTTAAAACTGAAAAGCCTGTTCGAAAAAATTAACTTGTGAAAACATCCAATGAGTACTGTGGTGATTTTTATGCAGAGTAGATACTGTGAACAGTATTTGACTGACAGTATATATCTTGAAGTTTAATTGTGTTTGGTTCGAAAAAAAAAATCAATCCTAACTGTGTATGCCTGATAAAGAGCTAGAAGAATCTTTCAAGTATTATGACTATTTTTACTATAACCATAAACTGTTGAAAGGGTTGCATTTCCATTTACTGCTTTCAACCCTTTCCCTAAAACTCAGCCTTAAATAGCCCAAGAAATATTTATTGTATCTCCAAGTGAAACTTAAATACCTTTCCTCTTTTACAATTTCTGAATGACCCAGCAAGAGCTCTAGTAAAGCTTTACTGAACCAAGCTGCTAATAGTTATTTAATGTTGTTCTGTAGCCTGAAAGAATCTCAGTAGATTTTTCCTTTTAATCTCTTTGAATTGCAGGCTCATAAACCTCTCTGATGAGCCTGCCAGTGTTTTCTTAGATCCTGCAGTTGAGACAATGGAGCTGCAGAATCCTTTCACCTCACCTTTGTCAGACAAATCCAATAGATGGCAAAGCCAGGCAGGCTGTGCTGCTGGGGAATTAAAATTTGTTTCAGGAGTTCTGGTGCTCACATTTCCCCCTGGATGTTCAGGGTGGGTCTCAGAAGTGACAGCTCTGTACACAGAGTTTTACAGCCTGAGCAGACATCACAGAACTCAGCACTGGAACATTCCCACTCTCCTTGGGGCTGACAGGGAAAATGGGACACCAGTTTGCTTCAGACCAGCACCAGCAAGGAGCCATGGTTGGAATAACAGCGATGCAGATGAAATAAGGAAGGGCACAAGAAATCTGAGAGCCACTGGGTTGGATGTTGTGCTTGCAAATTCAGCCTGGGCCACGCCTCTGTTTTTAAGTGGCTACCTCTGTTTCTGCTGCCTCAAGGTGTATTAGGCTGGGTAATGTTTTTTGTAGGAGACCTAGAAAATAAAGAAGCTTTGTTCATCTCTGGAAAATGTTCCTCCTGCTTGAACCAGACAGGCAAATAAATGAAGTGTGTAAAGCTGCCTGACAAGAGCTGGTACTGGATTATGTGGGAAGTCAAGAGTACTAACAGAATTTTTTTTTTTTTTTGAGATAACCAGATTTCAGACTTCACAGACTCACAGTCATAGATACACTGAGTTGGAAGGGACTTAGGGGGATCACTGATGGCCGTGCAAAGAATCACACCCTGTGCCTGAGAGCACTGTCCAAACACCTGCTGAGCTGTGCCAGGCTGGTGCTGTGAGCACTGCCCTGGGGAGCTGTTCAGTGCCCAGCCCCCTCTGGGTGAGGAACCTTTTCCTGATATCCAGGCTGAACCTGCCCTGACCCAGCTCCAGGCCATTCCCCGAGTCCTGTCCCTGTCACACAGAGCAGAGATCAGTGCCTGCCCCTCCACTGCCCCTGGTGAGGATGCTGAAGACCACCATGAGGTCTGACCTCAGTCTCCTCTTCTCCAGGCTGAACAGACCCAGTGCCCTCAGCCGCTCCTCACACGCCTTCCCCTCAGGGCCCTCCACCTTCCTCTTGGATGTCTCTAATTTATATCTCTTTTTTATATGGTGGCACCCAGACCTGCCCCAGCACCTGAGGTGAGGCCACTCCAGCTCAGAGCAGAGCAGGACAATCCCTCCCTTGCTCTGCTGGAGATGCTGTGCCTGAGCCTTCAGGATCTGAGCATCAGATGGGGAATAACAATCTCTGTTCAGCCTGGGAATTGTGAGCAGGATTAATTTTGCCCATTGGTTGGGGTCGTTTTTTATTTTCAAAATTACAATTGCAGGGATGAATTAGAAAAGCTTTGTTGAAGTTCTGTTCCCTGGGCTTTGTATTATACCATGTCTGGAACAGAAGAGAAAGCAGACTTTTCCTCAGCTGCTTCTTCATTACTTTAATGGTTGGACTCAATGATCTTAAAGGCGTTTTCCAGCATAAATGATGCTGTGGTTCTGTGAATCACAGTTACTTTACTTGAAGTATGGTAACCTCAGGAATTTGCAGTGTACCAGTTCTCTTCAGGTGGCCCATCTGCCCTTTTTGTACTTTCTAGCAGCGAGGCATGACCCAGACCTCCACCACCAATCCTGTAAAAGTTCTGAGAGAAATCCGGCTTCATTAGTTCCAAATAGGAAGCTCTGCAAGTTTTCTAACTCAGTTTTTTGTTACCTGTAGATGTTGTACACTTTTCATTTCATGCTGTACTCAATGTTGGAAGAGTCTGGGGGATCAAATGGCAGCAGATCTCTCAGGTACAGGCCAGAACTTGACTTACTTTCTGTGCTCAGAGACGCTTTATCATAAATGAGCACTTGGACTGGCCTTCCCCTACAAGTGTTTTTTGCAGGACTTCTTTCTTCTGCAGGATTTATTTCTTTGTAGGCATGTCAGTGGTGTTCTCACACACATGCTCTTGGTGCTTATTGGAAGGTTTTTATTTGACTTCTCCTTCTTCCTTCTCTAGGAATGGGGTTGCCTGACAGACACTGAGAATTCTCCATTTGTGGAGATATTTAAAATCTGCCCATCCTGGTCAGCTTGCTCCAGCTGTGGGTGCAGGAGGCTTTGATAGGTGATCTTGAGAGGTCCCTTTGGACCTCAACTGTCCCACAAGTCTCTGAAAAGTACAGGTTAGCAGACCTTCACCATTGCAGCTCATGGAGTTACAGTCAGGTTTTGAAAGGCATCTACATCAAAACAGAAGTTTGCCCCTAATTTCTCACAAGTGCTGATTTTGGGGTCTTAATTCATTGTCACCATTTATTTCTTTCTCCTGGCTACAAGAGAACATTTTCTATCTTATGCAGCTCTATAGAAACAAAAATTTAAAGAACTACATTTTGAACTGATACAGTGGTCTAGGCAGGACTCTGGTAGGGACCAGATTGACTGCTAGGTATAAAAACCATTAATTTCTCAGAAAACACTGAACATCTGTCATGTTTGCTTTACAGAAGATAACCTGACAAAAGAATGGCCACTTCATGAACAGATTTATCTTGAGGACATGTCCTGGAATGAAGGTACGAGTGCCTTGGTGCTGGTTCCTAATGCTTTTCCTTGTCCCTCTTAATGTTGTCTATTTTTTTTCTGCATCTTGCACCATTGTCTTACTTTAAGTGCTGGTTTTGCTGTATTTCCTGGGACAAAGCTGTTTTACTCTCGGAGATTACCTGGATTAGAACTTAACTTTGTTACATTTGTTTTCCACTCCATCTACACTTCTCCCCACCCTCACCTGCAGTACCACTTTTCACCCAGCTCTCCTCTTGTATAATTGACAGTACATAGATTTTTCCCATTTCTCTTGTGCATCTTCTTGCCCCTCCCATGATGGTAGAATGCCTGTGTTTCATTTTTCATTTGCCACTGTTCCTTCCCTCCTGTCTATTGCTCTGGCTTTTCTTGTTTAATTGCTTTTAATAAATGGCTTTTAATAAATGGCTGATATTTATTTTTTTTTACTTTTTTTTTTCTTTTTATTTTAAGTTGTGACGGGTAAAATCCTACTTTTGTTTCTTCTGTTTTGGTTCCTGGGTTACCAGCCTGTTTTGGAAGCATCCTTGATCTGTATGACTAACACCACTTAGTATTTCCTTTTAGCATCATCAGATTGTGCACCTTGTTATTATGGGAGATTTTGGTTTTGTGGTTTTTTTTTTGAAGAGACTCCATTGGCCCTGGTTGTTTAGTGTAAGAATACCTCAATCACTGAAACATTTTGAGATTATTTGTTGAGCTACAAATGGTAGCACAGATACTGATACTTGCAACCCAGCAGTGGGAGGTTATTTGTTACTAAGAGAAGCTTTGTGAAGAAAAGTCCAAATAAATTCTTCATTCTTCTCCAGCACTAAAGGCATTTTTGTTTTCTTTTTTGGCAGATGAACAACTCTACACTCTGTCCTGTCGATGTGGTGGGAATTACAGTGTCTCCAAGAGTGAAACCGAAGATGTATCTTTAGTTTGTTGTGACACATGTTCACTCGTTATCGAGATCCTGCAATGATTGTTTCAGTGAAGCACATTGAGTGTGACAAACGTTTCAAAAGGCTGGACAAACAAGTGACAGCACCTGCTAAAGAAATGTATGTTAAAGAAGAAGGGGGCACTACAAGAACAAGTTCATTCAGGGTTAAAAAGGACACGTGCCCCATGAGGCTGGGCTTCTCCTTCTGCAGCTGAAGAGCTCATTACTCCACACCTCCAGCCCAGAACAGGAGTTTGTACAACTGGAATGGATCTCCTGATCTAAAGGTTTCTTTCCCAGCAAACAACAGAGTAGCTTCTTCCGATTTCAGTCTGAAGCAGCTCTTGGGCCCTTCTTCTGAGGTTAAATCCTTTTAACAGCTCAGATGACAAAATTCAATCAGGAGGCACAGATGTGAGAACACTTTGAAGATAATGAAGAGCAAGGTTCAGCAGTGGGAAACAGGAACGTTTTCTATTTGTAAGCTAAATGTTTAAGTTCATGAAATCCTCTCAAGGGCTGGAGCCTAGAAGGAGGAGGCAAAGGCTGGCAGCTGGAAGCCGTGGCTGTCCCTGCCCTGTGACAGTGCCATCACCTGGGCAGCCTGGAGCAGGAGCACGTGTTGAGCTGAGGCTCTCTGTGTCAGGACAAACAGAGTCATCATTCCTGAGAGGAAAGCTAAGGAGGAAGCTGGGCTCTGACCCCACTGGGCAGTCAGAGGAAACCCCACAGCACTCCTGGGAGTGACCAGCAGGTCTGGAACCCCACTGGGGCTGTGTTCAGTGCCAGCCCTGGCACCACCTGCTGATGGCAGGCACAGAATTTTTGTTGATGACACAAGTGTATCATTCCCACTCTGAAGTTAGCTATAATCTCAGAAAGAGATATCTTTGTCAAGTAATATTTATGTTTATTCTAAACAAAAATAGTTCAATTCGTTTTAGTAGAAAATACTATGCAAACTGTCAATAGTACTTAAGTCTTTTAATCATCAAGAAATCTGTGGCCATTGGGGCTTGCACGTAGAAATCCAAAGTCATTCAGAGGCCATATCTGTAAAATAAATCACAGTTACAAGAGATTTAATCACAATCCAATATTCAGTGTTTTCATTTGTTATTGGAATTGTTTCATAAACATCATATAATGTAATAACTTTTTTCCTCTTAATTTTCTCAATAATTTTTTTCTCTCTGTGGTAAAGACCTTTGCTCACTGATGTGCTTCTCTTACTAGGAGTAATAAATCCTGTGTATTACAGGGAATCGTTTCATAGTGTGAATTTTACAATTTATACAGGAGATATGCTTTCCTATAGAGAGCCTCATGAATTCTATTGCTTTTTTCACCCTTGGAAATAAATATGTTCCTAAAGAGTGTCTTTCCAATTCAGTGTTTTCTAGCTTGTAAAGCTCTTAATGACTTTAAAGACAAGGTAAGTGTTTTTGGTCCATCTAGGAGAAAAAAGTATCACTCACATGCACCTCCCCATGGTGAGGTGTATTTTTATTTTATTTGTATTTTCAAGATGTGCCTTTGAACTGGAAATACCAGACCTTGGAAAAAAAGATATGCTGGCTGCAGGCAAACTTAAACAAACTTCAACAGAAATGAAGGAGTGGAGTGCCTGCCACCACTCAGGCTCTGGATGAGGCTCCTCTCAGAAGGGACAGTGCACAGTGCTCAAAAGAGCACAGAGTGATGCTGACCAATAAACAAATCCCCTCTCCAGAAATTACCTGTAGAGCTGTTCATGTACTCAGTGCTCCCAGGAGTACTTTAATCTGGACATTCATTACATGTAGGATGGTCTTGGATGCAAAAAAAACGTAATAGTAAAGCAAGGACATTCATTCACTCATTGTCCTTTGTCTCCCTTGAATGTCTGTGTCTCTTTCAAAGGTGACACAAGGGGCTCAGCAGGAAGAAGAGAAAGATGATGCTGAAGAATCAATGCCCTCTGTGGCTCTAAGCCCATAAAAATTTCACAGCTCCTGCCCAAGATGAAGCAGCCTAGACAGAGAAAGGTGGGCTGCTACCTTGTTCTCAAAGCATCTGTCAGTATTTTGGTTGTCTTGCTAAATTGTCCTTAGAGTCTGGTCTTAAGGTATAACAACAGCAACCTAACAGCAACTCTGAGTTCATGGAGCAGCCAGAGCACAGGAGGAGCCTTTGCTGCTCTCTGTGTGGAGTAAAAGAGTAATTGTCTCATTTAAAAGAGCAGCACAGGCAAAGGCTCAGTTATTTCTGCCCCTGTGGTTTGTCCCCAGCACCAAAGGCGGTGCCAGGAGCGGCTGAGGCAGCTCAGGACAGGCCTGGCAGGAGGCAGCAGCAGCAGCAGCTCTCTCCTGGCTGGGGCTGTGCCCTCTGCAGGCTCCTGGCAGCCCCTGGCAGCACTGTGCCCCATCGGGAAGGCAGAAGGAGAATCACGCTCAGGACCTCAACTTGTGTGCATCAGGAAAAGGCTCTTGTGCAAGATCTCAGACAATTCTTGTGGCTCTGGCATGTGCAGTCAGAGAGGAGCACGAGGAACAGCTGCTGACACAGAACCACAGAGGTGATGTCTTGTCTCTGTGCTGATCAGCCGGTGAGCTATTTTAAGCTGCTCACAAAAGTACAGATACAAGCCAACAGCAGAAGGGTATTTGTGATCTTGGTTAGCAGCAAAGCTGCAGAATTCAAAGCTGTCCAGAGGGCCTGTGCTGGCTGCAGGCTGGGTGTCAAGTCTTTGTTTGGCCCTGAAGGCAAGCAGAAGTAAAAGGAAAAAAAAATATCCTATATAACAAATCTAAGCTGATCTCAGTAAAGGCCTGGAGAAGGAAGTTTTTTTGTCTGTTCACTCCAGCACAAATCTCATTTCAGGCAACTCAAATCACACCTACTGTAACTTGACTTTCTTTCAGTGAAAGTAATCAAATTAGCTTTAAATGTTGCTTTGACAGTGTAGTTTGAAATTTGTCACAGTAATCTTAGTGGTAGAGTTAGAATGAAAATGATGTTTTACCTAGTCTGCATGCAGGGAGAACCTGAGGAACAATACTGGTGGTTGGAAAGAGACGGAAAGCCCTCCTCTATGAAACAAAGACATGCCACTCTCTTTAAAGTTCTGACAGAAGTTGACTGTGACTTGCTCATTCAGACTGGCTCTTCCAATTAGCAGCTCTTTGCCCTCTCTGCTTTGGCCCACATAGATAGATTTGATCTGATGGACAGGGCATAAATGGGGCTAACTAGCTCTTTTGAAGATACACCACAGGTCTAGTTCTGACATGGAGCCTAAGCCCAGGGATGCACAGGATATCCTACCTAGGACAGGATGAAGCATGAGTTCTGTCTAAGTGGGATTCCCAGTGCTTTTCCTGAATTTGCAGCTTTGATTTCAGCAGCCCTTTATGGCATGACCTTGTGTTTGGAGTGGCAGGACAAGAATCTGCTGCTGGTATTTCTGTAAGGGTTAAAAACTGCTGCACCAACACTGACTGAGAACCCTCGGTCTGAACTTCAGATAAACATTCATGTTTTGCCAGGAATAGGTTGGCTAAACAAATTCAGCCAGCTAGGTTGGCTAAGTTCACTGTCTTCTGTTGAAATCCATGACTTCCAAATTATATTTGGTTTTTTTTACCAAAAAAAAAAAAAGTAACTTAGCACTGAAAGGCACTGTTACACCTGCTTCTTCAAAATCCACTGTAAGACAAAGCCACAAAAACTTCCATTCTGAAGGCAGTAAAAACTGTTGGATGGAAGGGAAGCCAAAGCTGCAGCAGGCTGCATTAAAAGCACTCAGAGGTTTCCTGGCCAGTGGCCAGCCAGCCCTGTGCAGTCTGTACCTGCTGCCCTGCACTGCAGTGTACAGCAGCAGCACACAGGAGCAACATCACTGTGTGCTCATGTGAGGTATCATAAAGAACCAAACTAGAAACACTCATTTGAAGAACAAATTAATTTTTGCTTTTATTAGGCACCATATATTTAAATCTCACAAAAACTTCAATAATCACTATGCCACTGCCATTAAATAACCGCTGTGAAATCTGGTTAAATTATTTTGATTAATTGTATAATTATTTTTTTTTAACAGACAATGCTCTGGAGTCCTAAAGTAGTGTTTCAATATGAATTATCTGTGTGTGAGTTCCACTCATTGTATAGGGTTTACTTAGGGTTCAGTCCTGTCAGTCACTTCATTAGGGTCTTTCAAACACCTTCCTTGTCAGGACACAAGCTGGACACAAAATCTATTGCTGTGGAGAGATACTGTGACTAATTCTGGCTGTCCATACACACAGGTTCTTGTTATATCCAGTATTTCTTCACATTAAAGCAGTAAACAGCAGCAGCTTTTATACCTATGCAACAGCTAGGAGAAATGCTTTTTTCAGTTGCATTCTCATTAGAGGAGTGTTAGCAGATTAGCATCCTTTGTATCTTAGCAGTCAATAATTCAAGCTAAAACTTGGGTCATAAAAATAGCCCTGTTGGGAACCAGCATTTTCCCCTCTGGTGTCCAGGGCAAGGCAGACAGCAGGAGAAGGGGCAGAGCCCTGAGTAAACACCACGGAAGAACTCAGAGCAAATGTGAGCCAGGAGGAACAGAGGTCACCCAAAATTTGGGTGAGGCTGAGGGGGCCCTATTGTCTGAGGTTTAGAAAGAAATTACTGATTGTGCTCAATAGCTGCAAGGGTTTGGGGTTTTTTTAAGTCCCAAATTGTGTTCATAAATACTGTAAATTAAGGATATAAGGTTTTGTTAAATTGGAAAGATCTAATCTTCCCTGTGTAACACAGGTGTGCTAAATTATGGGTTTGTGGATGTCTTGAAGTATATGGAGAAAACCTTTTTTATTGTTCTGGATGCACAACTTTAAATCCAGCTTTCTTAAAGCAGGTGCATAAGTGCGTAACACACACTCCCCTATTTCTTAGATTAAACTTTTTATGGAGAGGAAATTGTGTTATGTTTCTTCTTTTTGGTACAAGAGTAAATTAGTAATGCAGATAATATTAAAAAAAATTCAGTGTGAAATAAAGTTGTAGAATTGTTGAAGCAAAAGGAGAAGAAAGCATGATGGTTTATACAGTGCAATATTCTTTCAAAGCACTTTTTAGTTTAAAAAGCAGCAAGGCCAGGCTACATGTCCAAAGTATGTGTGCAAGTCCTGGAGAGAGAATCTTTCCCTCCATTTTGTTCTTTGGACCACAGAGCTACAACAGTGAAAAACCATTTTGCAGAGAATCAAAGTAAGGATGAGATGTACATCTGTGCAGTAGGGCATTTGTGTGTACATCTGTGGTTTTATCATGTTTGGATTTGCTTGCAAAACAATTCATTCCATTTTCATAGCAGTGAAAACTACCCAGTGCTGCTCCAAAGTCCTCCCTCCAAAAACCCCGTCACTATTGATTTATCCTTTTACAGCAGGTGGTGGAGTGTTCATGCTTTCCTCTACATTTACTTTGGCCAGGCAGCTGGGGAGACAAATTTCAGTACCTAACACCCACTCATTAAAAATGTATTAATGCAACTGTTTTTAGATAGTAGAAATTCACATACCTTAAGACAAATGCGTCCTCTTATCAGCCCATAAGGAACAGGTCCATAGCACCTGGAATCTGTAGAATTCCTGAGATTATCACCTTCTAACCACACATGTCCTTTAGGCACCTATAAGCAAGATTGAGATGTACAAGAAACCAGAACAGAATGGTGTTAAGCACAGTTTGCCTTACAGTGTTTTTCCTGATTTCTGTGCTCTGTATTTCATGACTGTGTAATGAACTAAATTTTATTGAGTCTAGTAAGACACACTGCCAGATTTAGAGGGATGAGAAGGAGTGCTCCAAAGTATCTCTTCTATCATGTGCTCAAAAACCAATGGTTTGCAACAAAAAACCCAAAATGAAGATGCAAGAGGTTAGACCAATGTGACAGGGTCATTAATTTAATAGACTTCAAAAGAGGTCATTAGGATGTTGACTGAAAATCTGCCCTCCTGTCGCAGTAACAGCATGAACAGGGCAGCCACACACTCATCAACATCCTGGGGCCAGCACCAAGGCTAGACCTGTTAGTAGATTCATGATGAACTAACTGGTAATTGATTGTGACATCAATTACGAATAATCTCATCATTTTATCGGAGTAGGCTTGTCAAAGTTCTAATTAAGATCACAGTTCACTCTATGTGCAGGCAGAATCCACAACACATTATATTGCAATAATGATGATCACAAAACAGCAAATCCCTTTTTATAATTTGAAAATTAATGATGGTGACCTTATACTATATGACAAAGACCTTTCATTGCCCATATATATTATGCATTAACTATATTACATACCACAGATTCATGGCATTCACTGGCTGACTCAATGACAAAATGAGAAATAGCAACATTGCTGTAATAGTTACCTAAATGAGAGTATGAAGCTTTCATATGTGAAAAAGTTGCTCCTGCAAGTCTTTTAAACTAAGATACCTACTTGGAACATACACAATACAATATTTTGTAATGTTTTCTTAAAAAGTTTTCAGATACAAATAACCTCTTTAAAGTTACCAAATAAAATACTTAATAATGATGTTTCTAATTGGGCCTTGTTTCTAAAATTTTAAACCAGGCTGAAAATTTAAATGAAGCAACATATTCTCAATCTAGGGAATATTTAATATGGACTTTAAACTAACATACATTTTTTCCAAAACCAAGTAAGGACTTGAAACATTACTATGAAGTACCCACTTGAAATATTACTACAATCACAATTCAGAGGAAAAACATATGGAAACTAACTAAGTAAATAAACAATTTCAAGTAAAACTCAAAGTACAAGTAGCGTGAATGTTTTAGAATTGAGCCATGCAGTCTCTAAACAAAATAGTCTGCATAAGAGAGAGTTCATGGGTAACAGATGAAACAAAGTGAAATACCACTCTAGAGTAAAGGCTGGTTGTAAACCAGTAAGAACAAATGCAGGTCCCCCGCTGAAGGTGGTACTTGTAGGTGTCTGGCCAGGTAACACTCCCTGGGAACCTGGGCTTTAATGTGAGGCCCTTGCTTAGCCATGCTGCCACGTGCCTGTCACCAGACCAGCATCCCAGGCTGGCACTGTGCTGCCAGAGCCCCTCTGCCGAGCCGTGGCAAATGTGCCAGCTGTGGATTGAGGCACAACAGGTCACTTGGGCAGAATGAAACACACTGCAGAAAGCATCTGTGAGCCTGGCCAACCCTCCCAGGCAGCCCTGTATTCCTGTGGCACCAGGAAAGGTGCTGTGGGTGTGTCAGAGGGCACAAAGCCTGCCCTCAGCATTTCAGTATGGGAGCAGCAATGTCTAAGCCCTTTTGAAACCCACTGGTACCATCTCCTGCCACAGGTATAATGGACTGCCACCTCCTTTGTCTTTGACTGATCCACTGCTTCAGCCAAGCTCCTCTACTGCTTGTTCTCCCAGTCCTTCCAGACAGGAATTCCCTATTCAGCTTGTCTGTCACCTTTGTTGTTTGGAAGGCTGATCACATTCCTGGCACATGCACCAAAGGGTTTCCTCTGGGAAGGCCAGCTGATTCCAGCTAGAGGACTTTGGCCCTCCTCCTACCCAAGCAGCTTTGCAAACAAAAAAAACTAACCAGAAGTCAATTTATACATTTTAAAAGCTTATATCTGGAGTCAAACAACCTGTGTAGAATATACATCTTGTGTTTTTGATAGGTCTCTGTTTGAGCATGTGCTGTCACTGCTGTTTGTTCCTCAGAGATTCCATGGAGCACAGCCTGTTCAGGATGTCCAGCAGGCTAGTTGGATGTTCATGGTCACTTAGTTCAGTGGACCCAAAGCACTCCCTGTGTCCACACTCACACATGAGTTTGTCTCTCTTGTGGAAAGAACAGTACAAGGCAGCACCTGACCTTGCTAGAGCAAACTCCCCTGTCCAGCACCTACTGGAATAACGAGTCAGACAGCAAACTGCTGTCCCTGGGACAGACTCCCTCAGCAAACTCACAAACAGGACAAGCTGGAATCACTAAGATATAGAAAGCAAAGCCACGCTAACATTTCATGTTGCTGCAAAAGCATCACTTCTAGCAACGTGCTCCTGTTTCCCTGCCAGCTCCCCTTGTGTTGTTCTGGTTCCTCTGCTTCCTCACATCTCCCAATTCACTGGCAGAATGTGATGCTCATCTTTTACTGTGAAAAATAAAGAACCACTCGTGACTCAAGTATATGCAAAAGCTTTCTAGAACACTTCCCATATTTCCACCAAGCTCCAAAATGACAAAAAATAAAATAAATTGCCTGCAATGGCATAAAACTACTTCCAGTACTAAGAATAATTATTGTCTAGACAAGATGTTCACAGTTTGCATTCCAGGCAGAACATTTGCAGTAAAGTGTCCTCCTACATCCTGAAATTCACCACTTAAAATAATTTTTGCAGTTCTCCCTGGAAGGTATGACTGGGCCCTACACCTCTGAATTTAGCAGTAAGAGCACTGTCACAATATGTGATTCATCTAGGGATAATGCACCTTTGTAGAGCATCTGTCCATCACCTAGGCACCTCACCACAACCTAGAATTAAGTCAAGCAATAAAAATCACAAGAATTACAGGAAAATGTAAAACCAAATACCAGTGACAGGCCATAATCATTAATTAAAAAAAAAAATAAATAACAGAAGTAGTATAAGCCCCTTTGAAATAAAGACCCGTGCCAGAATCCTCCTCTATGCACCAAGCCACGTGTACACCACACCACTGATCTCAGTGGGACTACTCACAGGGAATAGTTCACTTGCAGTATCAGAGGCCAGGACCCAATCTGAAACACTGCAAAGCTCTGCAAGCACACTAGCTGGGAATAATATTCACCAAATAAAAAAAATTAACCGTTAAAAACATGTAGTTTTAGTAAGAATGTATTAATTGCACAGCAATGGGCTGCTGCTGCCAAAAACCCCAAGGCAGCAGGAAAGCCACTTGTGTGACAGCTCACAGGGTTGCACTTTGGAATCTACAGGCAGTGGACCTCTTAAAGAAAGCTAAGTGCATCCAAGAAGTGCCACTGAAATCACAGTTCCCTCTACCCAGAGGGCCAGTGACTGCAAACCCACACTGATGAGGGGTAAAAGCATTGCCCTGGGCTGGGCAGCATCTCTGATCTCCCTGCACACAGGCCACAACTAAAGATGGGAAAGTCTCACACACCCAGCAGCTGAATTTTCACAGAACACACAATAGTGGGAGTGGGACTCTGCAGAACCAGCAACTCCTGAGCAGTGCAGGCTGCTGTGAAACACAGCCTCTGACTGTCTGCAGGCAACTCCCTGTGCCTCAGCAGCCCCTGTGGCCCTGCTCTGTGCAGATTACCCGAGGATTTACCTCCCTTGTGCTCAGGCAGAACCGGTTATCTGCAGCGCTGCTTCAAAGTGTGACAATGAAAGACACCACCAGACACAACCCTGCTCCCTCCCCAGGCTCTAGATCAGAAGAACAAGACTATCCTTGGGAAAAACTGAACCGCAAGCAGAAGTTCATCTCTTTCACCCCAAATAAACATCTTCCACTGCATCAAACTGGCAAAATTTGCAGAGCTGGTGGAGTTTATGCAGTGGCAGAACTGAAGTACAGGGCAGGCATTTGATGCATACTCACCAGCATAAAACATTAATTTACTTAAAGGGGCGGAATCATCAAATAATTATATTGTTTTGGTCTCTTTACATGATGCCAAACTTTTTTAATTGATTATTCAATTATCTTCAAACCCAAGAGATAAGAACCCTGTGCTGCATTAACTAAAATATTAGGAAACTCACGTATTGCAAATAAAGCTAACAGAACTAAATTATCTGCCTCAAAAATACCCCCAAACCCAGCTAACTGAATACAGACTTCTGTGGTTTGGGGTTTTTGTTCCCAGAGAGCTTTTGCTAGTGATTTTAGGGCACTTCTAAACATGAATGTCTTGCAATCTCCAAAAACATCAGCACATACAATCAGCTGGGAGTAGACGTTTGAACTTTTGTAAGGTCACAGGTATTCACATCACCTCCAGCAATATCAAAGTTTCCAACTTACGAAGAACTTTAAATAATTCCCGTCTTTTCAGTTCAGAGGCTTCCTTCTTGAGCTATGATAAGAACTAATCTCAGTGCTGGACAAAAGAATAAAGTCTGCAAGTTCTCATCTATCCCTACTAAGGTCTATTTAAGTGCCTCCCACTTTGGTACAAGCAACAAATGTAATTGCTTCATGGCCTGCGGGTGTTCATTTAACAAAAGGAGCTTTTGTGAATAAACCACAGGTGTTACCTTTCTTGATTAAAGTGAAATATGATGAAAGATTCTACAATATCAAATGACAAATGTACTAAATACTGATTAAATTGCCTTATTTAAGTAAATTGCATCTAGTTAGGATAAAATATACACCATAGAAATGCAGGAGTTTGTTTTATCACTCTGTACTTAAAGTCTCACATAACTACTCCTTAATCCTTTATTTATTAATTCAGAACCAAGAGTGAGTAATGCTTAACAAATACTTTTTTTAATGATCCAGTTGCTCCAGGCACTGTTTCTGTAGGTTTACCATAAATGTTGTTCATATTAAGGCTGCCATCTGTATAAAACCCAACCACATTAATTAGCTCAATATTTTCAG